TGTGTGTGTGTGTGTGTGTGTGTGTGTGTGTGTGTGTGTGTGTAGTGGCAGTACAGTGATCACAGTAACAGGAACAAACCTGTTGACGATCCAGGAGCCGAAAGTCAGAGCAAAGTACGGAGGAGTGGAAACGAATAATGTAAGAACATGTGAACAACATGAACATGACAACATCAACATGTGAACAACATGAACATGACATCATCAACATGTGAACAACATGAACATGACATCATCAACATGGGAACAACATGAACACGTGATCTTCTTTTCTCCTGATCAATCATTTAATCCCTCTTCTGTTTTTCTCTTCAGTTCTGTACGGTGGTCAACGACAGCACCATGACGTGTTTGGCTCCAGGTCTGATTTACAGTAAACCCAACCCACCAGAGGGGGCGCTGCAGCCCGACGAGTTTGGTTTCATCTTTGACCAGGTAACACACACACACACACACACACACACTCACACACACACATCACGAGTCATGGTAACAGTTATAAAAACGTTCTGCTTCCGTCCAGGTCTCGTCTCTGCTGGTGCTGAACTCCACCCCCTTCACACACTACCCCAACCCGACCTTTGACCCCCTGGGGAACTCTGGGATCCTGGAGGTCAAACCGGGGTCACCCATCATCCTTAAGGTGAGACAACTTAAACAGGAAGTTATGAAGAAGAAAAAGATGTGATCTGACCAAGACACAGCGTTAAAACATTGTGTGTGTGCGTGCGTGCGTGTGTGTGTGTGTGTGTGTGTGTGTGTGTGTGTGTGTGTGTGTGTGTGCGTGCGTGCGTTCAGGGTAAGAACCTGATCCCACCTGCCCCCGGTAACAACCGCCTGAACTACACGGTGCTGATTGGAGAGTCTCCCTGCCTGTTGACCGTGTCAGAGAACCAGCTGCTCTGTGATTCGCCAGATCTCACCGGAGAACAGCGAGTCGTGGTAAGCCCCGCCTCCTCTTTCTTACCTGTCACCGACGCCTGAAGGTGATTGGTTCATTTAATCCTCTGAACCCTTAAACCCAGCGACAGGTTTTCATATATTCACCACAGTCAGGAAAGACGAAACTTTCCGGCGGTCCATGAACTCATCGAATGTGACGTTCACTTCCAGGAAGGAATGAAGGAGGGGATGGATTAGAGGAGGAAAAGAAAGAAGAGAGGAAGAAAAGAAAGAATGGGAGAAAAAAGAGGGGGGAGGAGGAGGGAAAAAGAAGAAGTAAAATGAGGAAAAGAAAGAATGAGAGGGGAAAGGAGAGAAGTAAGGAGGATGGATTTGAGGAGAGAAGAAGGGAGGGAGGAGATGACGGAAGGGGGGATGGTGACAGTGGAGAATAAAATGAAGGAAAAACAGAGAGGAGGGAGAGAGGGGGAGGGGGGTCTTTATAAAGGTGAAAGTCATTAAGTGCAGCCGCAGGGAATCGTGGGTAATTGGTCTGATATCACACATCAGAGGGAAACACGCACACACACACGCACACACACACACACACACAC